AATATGTATCAAGAGCTCTAGAAGAGTTACCACCGTCTGACCCAGCACTTTCCCATTTACAACTCTGGTTCTGGAGACAACCTGCCAGGAGGGCAAAGGTTAGGTGCCAAAATGTTTCCTGCAGGATAATACATAATGGTGAAAAATGGAGACACTCCAAACATCCATCATTGAGGGATGGCTAGTAAATGGGGACATAGCTCTATGATAGGACAATACACAGCTAGTAAAAATGATGTCTTGGAAGAATTTTAGAATGCTAGTGGGAAAATGTCGGAGAAAATGGCAAATTGTATATGATCCTGACAATGTGTTAAAAATAATAATGTTTTAAAAAGAACCCACAAGAGCAAACATATATTGAGCAATGACTACCTATTTTCAACCTCACCTGATACCTGAGGTCCAGATGTGCCCTGCTCCCATTTTCCAGCCCCTCTCCAGACCTTGACCCTTGACCCTGTTTTATTTTCTTCATAACAATCCTCATAAGTCAGTATTTGTCAAAGGAACGAACCACTCCAACAGTGGTCCTCTTTGGGTGGGATTACACATGATTTTAGTTTACTTTTAAATTTTCTATACCTTCCAGGTAAAGCATGTTTTTTACTTTTATATTTAGGAGGGGAAAAAACTGTTTTTAAAAGCAAAAGCAAAACCAAAAGTCAACTAAAAAAAAACCTCAGAGTTCTCGTGAGTGAGTTGAACCTTCCTGGGGGGCAACATTATTGAAAGAAGCATTTTCCCAAAAATGCCGAAGGAAATTTTGGGCATTGAGAGAAGAGATGGATTTATTAAAACTTAATCAATTTATAAGCCTGTAGGGGCGCCTGGGTGGCTCAGTTGGTTAAGCGTCTGCCTTCAGGTCATAATCCCGGGGTCCTGGGATCGAGTCCCAAGTCGGGCTCCCTGATGCTCAGGGGAGAGTCTGCTTCTCCCTCTGCCCCTCCCCACCTCTCACTCTCGCTCTTGCTCTCTACCTCAAATGAATAGATAAAGTCTTAAAAAAAAAAAAGGTCCAAGCCTGTAGAGAGTGCCTACGAGTGGGCCCTCTACTTGACATTGGGGGGCGTAAGGCTGGACTCAAACTCACACAGGAATTACCCCAGGTCCCTGCAGGCCACAGCCCTGGACTGCAGTCAAGGAATGTGTCCCGCGGACCCAGACTGGGATGCCGGTTCCACTGCAAGCCCAGTGCTGGCCTGTGGCCCTCCATGCCCGGGCCAGGCGTGCCCCAGGAGACACCCGCAGGCCTGGCCCTGCCAAAGCGATGCCCAGCGCTGTCACTCAGGAACACAACTGCTCGCGGCCGTTCACGCCTCATCAGTGCCCGCTCAGGGGATGTGCAGGAGCACCTCAGGGGAGCTCTGCCCTCAACGTCACACGGAGAGCAAAGCTAGGACACGAGGGGGAGCACCCAACGCCTGGGGGTTCGCTCCCAACCTAAAAACATCCCAGGGTGGCAGCCAGGCTTATGAAACACGGGGGCAGCTTTACATAATCATGGGAAATCATGAGAAAAAGCGCCTTCCTAAAAATGCATCCCCCCCACCTCGACGGTATTTTTTTCAAGATGGAATTTTGTTTTGCCTTCTTTGGTTTGTAAGAGTCGACCATGTTCACTGGCACTAAATTCCAACAGAAGAGAAATCTGTAAAGTAGAAACTGAGAGTCTTCCTCAGTTCCACGCCGCAAAATCCCCGACGGGTCTGTCCTTATAGGCTCTTCGCTTCACCCACACAAACCTACAAACACACACGGACAGGGGCATGCATGCACCCACAAACACGTGCATGGGCATGCTTTTTATTTATCTTTGACGGAAATAGGATCACGCTCTACCTGCTGTTCTCTACCTTGCTTCTCCTCAGCATCACATCTTCCCACCCCGTGCCGAACTTTCAGTGTTTGGCCGGCTGTAACACACCCAGCGCGGGGCCAGGGGGGAGGGCACCCAGCAAGGCATGGACCCCAGGTCTGTCCAGCTCCGGAACCCAAGTCCTAATGGTCTTCCCCATGTTTGCCTCTGAGAGTCTTAGAACCCCCAAACAGCATTGCCTGAGAGTCTTAGAATTGCAGGCCCCACCCCAGAGCCTCTGATTCAGAAGGTGAGATGTGGTACCCAGGGGATCTGCGTTCGGAATAACTACGTCAGGCGACTCAGATGACCTCGCTAGCTGGGGGACTGTAGTGTCCAGTCGTTGGGGCCATTAAGGAGCTACATTTCCCCACAAGGTGCTGCCAATTTCGGCCCCCAGTCAATATAGTTTGAGTAAATGAGTGAGCCCATTGCTCAGGAGGTCCAGTCTTCACTGATCTGGGAAAATGACCACTCGGGCCCCTGTCAACCCCTGCCCTCTGCCTCCAGACCTGTTTGCAGCCGGGGTTTCCCTCAGGATCACCTTCCAGGCACGGAGTTCAAAGTCTAAGGGCATGAGCATTGTGGGGGGGTCTTTGTCCTGGAAGGTCCTGCTGCGTACCACGGGCTGAGCAGCCGGAGGACCTGGACCTTGGCTCTGTCCTGTGCCTTAGCCAAGGCACACAGGCTTTACAGGGGTCCACGAAGGTGCTACGGTGATGCTGCCCGCACGCTCCAGGGCAGGCAAGATAGGAGGGAAAGAGTGTGAGGGAGCTCAGTGTGTGTGTGTGTGTGTGTGTGTGTGAGTCACATGGTTCTGGCAACTACAGCTCCCTCATGCCTGGCCCGGCTCCCGCAGTACCCAGCCGAGGTGGGAAATGCTTGGCCCCACACGGCGAGGCTTCCATACCAAGCGCCTCTGCCCAGCATTGCTGATGGGTCCTGGGATTTCCTTCTGAAATGCAGCTCAGAACTCTGTGGTCAGCATTCAGCCTCAGGCAGCCGTTACAATCCATCAGCACTGTCACCGTGACCAAAAGCTACTAGCCTCAATGATAGTGCTAGGCTGTACGTTATCCCTCAGCACGCCAGTTTCCCTCTCAAGCCCCTTCCGGTGATCCTGGAGGTCCCTGGGGAGCCGGCTGTGGGGACTCCTATGAGGACTTGCTCTGCCCTGGCTGCCCCGAGGGTGCCTTCTCGCTGGGCGCTGTGTGGGTCCTGGGGATGATGGCCCAGCCTCCTGTATAGGGCTCTGCTTTCAGGTCACTATGGCCTTTTGCTGACACCTGATGCTGACAGCAGGATGTCTGTGCCACCTTCTGGCCTCCAACAGAGCCCCTTTGTGTCTCAACTCCTGAAAAGGCTGGATAGAGGGCATGGGCCTCAGCAGCCAGATTCCCTCCCCTGCGGTCTCCCTGCTGCTCTCTCCCTGGGTGTAGCTCAGGCAGTTGCTGGCTGTGTGACCTTGGGCAAATGCTGCAACATTATATTTCCATCCCGCATTTACTGAGCACCTACTGTAGGAGACACGGTCATAGTCTCTGAGATAGAGATTTCCTGGAGGTGGCAGAGGACAAGGCAGATGGGAAGGAGGACTGCTCTGGACCCAGGCCATGTGAAGCATTCAGGAATGGCATTACCAGCTCAGGAAATAACACATGCAAAAGACTCTCAGTGGAGTGAGCTGAGTGTTTTTAAGGAAAGCAAGAAGGCTAGTGTGGCTGGAATGGAGTGGGGGCGGGGGTATGGCTGGAGGAAATGGGAGAGAGGTGAGGGGGGCATAGCATGCATATCACAGGGGCCCGAAATTCATTCTAAGGCTGGAAGGAAAGCAATGGGGGCTTAGCTGGGAAGCAGCAGTTCTCTCCAGTAGCCACAGGGAGCACAAACCTGGGACTGAAGGAGGACGAGGTGGGTGGGAAGGAGGCAGAAGAGCAAAATGGCAGCTTAAAGCCAGGCAGAAAGCTGTGACCAGCAGGACCCAAGGTTTTCCTCCGGAGTGCCATGTGATTTATGAGGTGCTTGCGGCTGAATAATGACTCGGGACCTGGGGTCAGGAGTACCACCTTGGAGATGCAGAGTGTTGGAAACACCTCCAGTCGGCCTAGGATTCTGGTTCTGAAGTGGACCCTGGGGAGGGCCCAGAGCCCCTGAAATATGGTTGAAGCCAGGATGAATGGGTCTCATTCACCTGGACCCAGGATGAGAAGAAGCTGTCCCCGGGGTGGGGGTGGGGGGCTCCATCACTCCTGGGTCTCCAGAGCCACTTTGAGTTTCCTGCCACCATCAGAGACCAGGGTGGGTGCAGATTGGCAAGGATTAGTCCCCCTCAGCCAGATGGGGAAACTGAGGTTTGGGATTGGAAATCAGTGCTCTACGGGAAATAGAATTAGAAGACACAGCCCTCTCAAGTGGTTTCAAAGCTGTGTCTTCTTTTTCTTTTTTTAAAGATTTTATTTATTTATTTGAGAGAGAGAGAGAGAGAATGAGAGAGAGAGAGCATGAGGAGGGGAGGGTCAGAGGGAGAAGCAGACTCCCCACCAAGCAGGGAGCCTGATGTGGGACTCAATCCCAGGACTCCAGGATCATGACCTGAGCCGAAGGCAGCCGCTTAACCAACTGAGCCACCCAGGTCCCCGCTGTGTCTTCTTTTAACAAACTGTGAGCAGCCTGAGGGCAAAGGTGGCCCCTTCCAGGCCTCTGACCATGGTACAGATACCTCACCCTGATTCTGCAGCCCTCACCAGCTATGGGGCCAGCCTTGGGTGGGTGGACCTGTGCAGGCTAGCTGCCGTGACATGCCCCTCTTGGGGTCTGACCAGGCATCTGGGAACCAGACCAGTCGAGGAGCAGCCAACGAGCATCTGGGGGTGGGGTGGGGGACTCATTGTCCCCCATGACCCAGAGCTCTGAATGTGGACTAGGCAAAGGCCACAGAGGGGACACAGGCAGGGCGTGTCCACTGGTACCTCCCTTGCACGCCCCTGCCCAGCCACCAATTTGAGGGGCCCCTCTTTATCTCTCTGTAAAATGGAGCTTCCTTCTGTGTGAGGCATCCACCCTAAAAGGTATCAACCTCATGGGGCATGGGTGTTGGGCATAAACAGTGTCTGTGATGGCAGTCCCCTCCCTACCCGCCACTATGGGGAGCCCCATTGCCCTGGGGGTCAAAGGGTCTGGTAAGAGCAGAGGTGGGTGCACCTGTCCCTACAGACTTGGATCCAAACCCAGTAGTCTCCCTAAGGGTCATCAGTGTTATTAGGCTCTAATAATCTGTGAAAGGCCTACCACTTGTAATTTCTCAGTTAACGTCAACTGGTAGTATCATTACTACTGCTGTGATTCTCATTTTCATAATCCCCATCCCTCTCACAGGCCCCTAAAGCCCTGGGCTTGCTCTCTTGGGGCTGGGGCTTGTAGATGGAGCCATTCTGCTAGGACAGAGCCCCGCATCCACCAGCTCTGTGACCTTGATTGATCCTGCAGGTCTCAATTTGCTCATCTGTAAAATGGGTTACCAATGAGGGTTTCTCCCTCTCAATTCCACCCAGGGCTGCGTGGAGGGGAAGAAGGCGGTGAAGATGCGAGTCAGGCAAACTCTGAGCCCAGCCTAGAACCTGGAGTGACTATTATTACTTGTATGTGTAGTCAATTCCAGCAGGGCAGTTCTGCTTCAAGAGCCTGGCAGCCCGGGGGACGGGCCCAGCAAATGCCGGGGGACGGGCCGGGGGAAGGGAAAGTTAGGCAAGTGGATAGACTCGGGCTGGGTCCCTAGGCGCGCCCGGGCCTGGGCTTCCCGGAACGGCGCCGGAAGGCTCTGGCGCAGCTCGGGCGGCCGGGGG